CCAAGCGTTCTCTAGCATCATAAGCACAGACCCATCCTTGGCTGCTCACCTGTGCACATCTGGGTAGGTGATCAGGGTGGCTGGGTCACGAGGCAGTGAAAGCACCATCGGATGGCTGTCAGGTGACAGTACCTGCTTCCTCCACTCTCGGGGTCTGAAAGGACCCACTTCTCCAGCCCACAAACACCTGTTTTTCTTAACCCAATGGGTAAAATAGTATACCGGTGGTCCGCAGCTTATTTTGGTGCTGTTAACTGTAAAGAGCATTGTAAATGTCAGCGAGCTGCTATTTCTTTGGGGAAGAAACGTGTCTAGCCCGGTGGCGGGAGGGCAGGAAAAACATTTGGCCACTATTAGTCAAAATGTTCTTCGATGTCCTTTGTAAACAAGGAAATGGAGGATCGCACAATTAGTCAGCCAAGGGTGGGGACCAGAGTCAAGGGAACAAATCTTCGTCCAGGACTTTTTATGTTGTACCTTAAAAGAAACGCTGGTGGCATTAAACCCGCCCGTTGCCAGCAAGGCATGCCACATTCTTTCCTGGGTTTGGCAAAAAGTAATTTTGATCCTGTGGAATAACACGCCCTCAAATTCTGAAATATTTTTTCCTTGTTTTTTGTTTTTTGTTTTTTTGTTTTTCATTTGGAGCCACAGCCTCGAGCCAAGAGGTAATTTCCTCACTGAATGGGGAGAGTTGGGGAGCGTTTGAGTCACTGGTTGAGAGAGTACAGTGGGAGAGCCACGTGTCCCAGGCAGGGCATAGAGCACCAGGACAGATGGACGGACAGACGGATGGACGGACCCTCAGGCTCAGAACACTGCAACTTCCTAGACAGGCTGGGATCAGACAGGCTGCCATTCACAGTAGCTAGAATAGGAAAAGAGAGAGTGGTACTTTTTTTTTTTAAGTGCAGAGATTCAGGAACTGTTTTAGTTCCAAACATGTCTGCGGCACGGTTATTTATAACAGGGAAAAATCAGTGACAAGCTCAAAGTCTAACAGCGGAGAACCACAGGGGGACGGTGATGTCAGTAGTGACTTAGCTATTGCAGCTAACTTGCAAATTCATGATGTCATGGTTGTGTTTAAAAAATGTAAGGGATTGGGGCGCCTGGGTGGCTCAGTGGGTTAAATCCTCTGCCTTCAGTTCAGGTCATGATCTCAGGGTCCTGGGATCGAGCCCCACATCGGGTTCTCTGCTCAGCGGGGAGCCTGCTTCCTCCTCTCTCTCTGCCTGCCTCTCTGCCAACTTGTGATCTCTGTCTGTCAAATAAATAAATAAAATCTTAAAAAAAAAAAAATGTAAGGGATGGAGGTGCCTGGGTGGCTCAGCCGGTTGAACGTTCAGGTTGTGATCTCTTGGGTCATGGGATCCAGCCCCCTGTTAGAACTGCGCTCAGCGGAGAGTCTGCTTGAAGATTCTCACCCTCTACCCGCCCCCCAACTTGTGCATGTGAGCTGGCTCGCTCTCTCGCTCTCTCTCAAAGAAATTGTTTTAAAAAACTATAATAAATATTTAAGTGATGTGTTCTCTGCCTCTTGGAGTGTCATCTAGGAGAAATTTTTTGGAGGAGAACTCCCAATTTGTACATTTTCTTTTTTTTTTTTTTTTTTTTTTTTTTT